AGGAGGAGATGAGAGGGAGTCAAGAGGAGGCCTCAGCTGGGGAGCTGTTTGTACCTTCATCTCTCTGCCTCTCACGTTTGAAGAGACGTCTTAATGAGGACACCTGACGTCTCTTCTGTCCAACAGATTTTCTCCATTCGTGTCTGTGCTGCTCTTCATCTGCAGCTCTGAGGCTTTCATGAGACACTTCACACCTGCAGCTCTGCAGATGTGAAGTGTCCAACACATGGAGCTCTGAGCTGAGACATCAGTAATGTAAGTCATGAAATATACAGTTTATAAGATATGTAGAAAAAAATACACGTGAATATTATTCATGTCTGAATTAACCTTCATAAAAACAAAAACCCTTTCCGTCAATAAGGAAATTTGCTTTTCTCATTGTCTCATTTGCACAGAAATAATCAGATGCTCGTCTTTGTCTTTTGTTGTTTGTCCTCCGTCACTGCTCATCTGAGAGTCTTTATCCGTCTCGTGTCTGTGTCTCTCTCTTGGCTCTGAGACACGTAGGACACTTCACGCTGCGTCCAATAACCTGAGGAGGCGTCTCAAACAGAGAAGCAGAAAACCTCGTGACGAGCGAACACAGCTTCAAACTTCACGTCACACACATCCACCAGAACACTTTCCTGACTCCGAACACAAACTGATGAAACATGTTTGAATCATCAAATCAGACGTTCATAGAAATAAATGATGTTTTTCATCAGGATCCAAAAGTCAAGAATCCACCAATCAGCTCGTTAATAACCGATAACAAACACGTCTCCTCTCTCTGACTAACGATCCAGACTCAATGAAACATTTAGCTTCACACTTCATGTACGATGAGTTTATTTAAGTAAAATCAAAGAATGAACCAGATATTATTGTAGTTCTCCTCACGATCAGTATCAGACCAGTGGAAATGCAGAATTTTATATTTCACATACATTGTCTGTAATTTGCGTTTTAAGTTGAAAAGCTGCTGGAATGATTGGGACGTCTTTATTCCACTTATTCTTCTCTTCTACTCCACATGTGTCTGAGCGGCGTCTCCGAAGAATCTGACTCCAGCTCTGACGACCACCAGCAGGAAGAACACGGTCGTCATGGCAACATAAGACGTCATCACAGTGTTGACAGCCGTCAGGAAGTCAGGGTGCGATGTCACAGACTGGCCCCGCCCTAAATGCACATAGACCAGGAGGCGGATCTGAGCGGCCTGACGACCCTGCAGCCAGCAGCAGAACACGCCTGGAGAGAATGTTCCAGTCATAAAAACCTCCGCAGAAACATGCGACAGCTTTAAAGCAGCTGATTCAGTCTCACTCCTCATCGAAGCGATGATCACTATGATCAACAAAGCAGAGAGTATAAGTGATCCCACATCGACGAGCTCCGAGTGTGAAATGTGTTTTTCTTCTTCATTTTTTAACCACTCCATGTTTGTTATTCCTAGAAAAGGCTGTAATAAGAAAATGTGCTAAAAGAAGATGATGTGACTGCGGACACCGGACAGACGGACGGACCATTCACAAACAGGAAATGGATTCTTAGTCGAGGACATCTTAAAACCACACACCTGAAAAACAACTTCATGTATCGTATCTATTTGAAAACCTTCACATTGTGTATGTGAATATTTAACATGAACTGTTTTTATATTTTTGACGTGTCCTCGTGTCCTCGTGTCCTCGTGTCCTCTGCCTCAGATTGTTGTGGGACTGAAGATGATCTGATCTCATCCTGGATGTTTGTGTGGCTGCGATAATGAAGCTGCTGAGAAGAGGCAGCAGCAAACTAAAATAGAAACCCACACAAATCTTTTACGATGCACATTACTGTAAATCAAGTTTGTACCTGTGTCCTGAAGTTTCGCAGGTTTGAACACGAGGTGGTGTCCGGCGTCTATCTGCACCCTGGAGGCCTCGGCGCCGCTGCTGCCACTGGCCAAGTGTTCGGATCGGTAAATGGGTTCAGACCCCCGGTCCCAGGCTACAGCCATGTTAGCTCGAGCTCCGGGGCACCCCAGGGTCAGGACACGGCCCGCAGGGTGGTTCAGGTAGAACACTGGTACCTCTGCTGGCACGGAGGCAGAACTGCAGCCGAGAACCAGAGATGGATTATGTGAGAAGTCATGAATGACTCTGCCTAAACCAAACCCCCTGACTGTCACATGCATTTATCTACTGACCCACCTGAACCCAAGAAGAGCCATCAGAGCGAGGAGTTTGGAGGAGGGCGGAGGTCGAGGTGGACACGTCACTTGACAGCTCATGACCTCCAGCTTGGCCTCAACTCTGCTTTTCTTCAGGTCGCCAAACGTCCGGGGGACCGCCCCTGAGCCGCATGAAGCCACCGTCTCATTGGCCCGTCTGTAGCGTACATGGAGGAACTGTGAGCGGACGTAGCAGAGCCCCACACGGATCTGTTCCCCACTAACGCCGCAGCGATCGCACACCGTCCAGGGCCGGAAGCTGGTGAAGACCTGATACAGCGGCTGACCGGAGCCCAGGCCTTTTCTCTCCGTCAGTTCCTGGATCGTTCTTTCTGGAGCGAGTCTCGAGAAATGAAAGCAGCAGATTTGATGATTTTATCACTATGGAGGAAATCAACTAAATATGTAATAAAACCATCAACCAGTTCAACATAGAAACCATA